TTTTCCCCTATGAGTGTACCCTTACTATCTTATTTCCTTGATCTGAAATGTCCTATATATCTTTCCATATCTACGTGCTACTACCATAGAAGTTCTTGATGACCATTTTTACTTTTCTTCACCCCACAAAAGTTAGCAATTACCTGGATTTTCCTACACTCTGTCTCTTATAAGGGCCTGAGCATGAATCACATAGATTGGGTTCATTTTTTAAAATCATACTTATATATAACCTCCTGATTGAGGATGTACTTCCTGATAGCCGAATTCATACCTAGCTCATTCCCATAGGGCCTAGCCATACAGGGGCCTTTAGCACTCATTTAGTGAATAAATGTTTAGAAGATGGTAAGTTTACACTAACTTTCTACTTAAAGGACTTCTTGTTTATTAAATACAATTAATTGCAACCAGATACGAACCCAATGGTTATCTCATCAGAAGCAAAACATATCCATCACTTCAGAGACAAAGCATTAGTAAGAGGCAGTGGTTAGGTAGATAAACTGCAGACCAAAAGAAAAAAAAATGAAACCCACAACTATGGGGAACTCCCTGTGACTGTAGGAAGGGAGAGTGATCTGAAAGAAACCATTTCCTGCCCCACCTTGTCACCTAGTTTTTCATGAGGGCTTAGAGAGAGGACAAGGAGGAAGGAAAAGAACTGGGGGGAAGGGAAAGCTGTGTTGAGCTAACCTACCAGTTACTATCCAGTTTATTTTCTACTGGGGTTTGAACTCAGGGGTTTCTACCACTTGAGTCACTTCCCAGCCCTTCTTTCTCTTTAGTTGTTTTTCATTTAAGGTCCTACATCCTCCCCCCCCCCAACTGGTTTAGACTATCCTTTTATCTTCTTCTACCCTTCTTCTATCTTTCCTGCATAGCTGGGACCACCATAACCAGCCTATTGATTGTCAATGGCTCTTGCAGGCTTTTTCTTAAACTGGTCTCCAACTGTGATCTTCAAACTTTTACCTCTTGCTTATCAGTCATTACAGGTATGTACTACCATGCCAGGACTTAGATTGATTAAACTTCTAGGATTCTCTTTTCATGAGTTCATCCCTGTTAAGAGAGGACAATTATTTGGGGGTAAATTTGTCTATCTATCTATTTGTAGTATAGTAGTTACTCAAGTCCTCTAGCAAACACTCTCTCAAGCTTTTGCCCTTGGATCCTTCTACCTCTGCATGTAGCCTTGCTAGGATTATAGGTATGAAGAACCATGCCCACCTTGTTTTTCTTTTTGGTTTGTTTGTTTTTTAGATAAGGCTTGCTAGTGTTTCCCTTGCCTGGGCTGATTTCCAACCACAACCCTTCCATCTCTGCCTCCTGGGATTATAGGTATGAACCACCAAGGCTGGCCTTGGGGATGAATTTTCTATTACTAATAGTCTAGCTGATATTCTACAATCACTCTTTTGTATATATTTGTATGTGCCAGTCTTGAGGCTTGAATTCAGGGCCTGGACACTGTCCTAGAGCTTTTTTGCTCAAGGCTAGAGCTCTACTACTTGAGCCATAGCTCTACTTCCAGCTTTTTGGTGATTAATTGAGATAAGAGTCTCACGGATCTCCCTGCCTAGGCTGGCTTTGAATGGAAAGCCTCAGATCTCAGCCTCCTGAATAGTTTAGGATTGCAGGCGTGGTGTACCAGCACCTGGCTACATAGGCACTGTTGATGATGAGGGAGATTTTGTAAAAGCCAGCATTCATGGGAATCAACTTTCAAATGAAAGTGAGTATCTCTACCCCAGGGTACACTGCTTCCCAGGCCTCCCTTCCTCTTTTGCCATTTCCTGATGCTTTTGATCCTTTCAACCATTCTTACAATGTCTCCCAAGACAGTGCTGTGAGATGCAGAAATGAGATCAGTGGAATATTCTTCTTGTGGGTTAGAACCTCAGTACCTTTAAGAGCCTGCTCTGAACTGGCTGATAAGAGTAAGGACAGGACCTGAAGCTGTCCCATGTGGAAAATCCTAAAGCAGAGCAGGGCACACACCTGTAATCCTAGCTACCCAGGAGGCTTAGAGCTGAGGACAGTTCAAAGCCAGCTGGGGTGGGAAAATTCATGAGATTCTTATCTCCAATAAATTACAAAAAAAAAAAAGCTGGAAGCACTACTGTGGCTCAAGTGATAGAATGTTAGGTCTTAAGCAAAAGAAGTTCAGGCACAGTGCCTAAGTCCTGAGTTCAAGTCCTAGGATTGACAGGGAAGAAAGGGAGGGAGGGAGGGAAGAAGTAAACTTTAAAACACCACCCACTGGGCACCCAATGGGCATCACTATGCCCGTTGCAAGGATAGTTTCATTACTTTTCAATCCTATCCTCCTTTGAGTCCTTCCTCTTAAGTGTGCAAGAAAATAAGCTATCAAGCATATTACTTTCTAAAGGCAACCACCTGTTTCCTCACAATGCAGATGGATTCTGGACCACCCAAGGTTTCCAAGGAGAATGGGCAGATATGTCTGAGTATGTGTGAGCCTGTCATCATCACTCCAAGAAGGAGCATGAGTGGATCAAATGGTTATTCTGTTGTAGCCTTGGCTACATCACTCACAAACACAGTTTTCTGAATCTACATGGCTGCTTCATGGAAGGAATGCTGTTATCCTTGTTGCAAAATGATGGGTGTGCAAACTGAGGTTTGGGAATATGAAGTACAATACTCAGTAGTACATACATGTTAAACCTAGGGCCCTGGACTCATAAAGAGAAGCTGGATTCCAATGTATGTGCTGTTTCTACCTCTTCCAGCAAGTCCCACATAAACGGGAAGTCGGCTGAGCAGTGCTGACCACAGAGCCCACAGCAAGTGGGAAACAGAGACTAGCACCACCCATTTCCTACTCTGTGCTGTACTGAGCTGCCCATCTCCAGGTGAGGACTGTCTGTTGCCCATAATGCCTACTCTTTCAGCTGTCCATTTGTTCCCATTTAAAGAGGGGGAAAAAGATAACAGGCCTCCAAAGCCAGCCTCCTCTTAAGTCCCAGCTCTCTCACTGGTGGACGTAAAGCCTTTTTCCTCTTACTCTGTTTCCTGCCCTGATTTGTCCTCAAACCAGCAGTCAGGGTAGATCTTTTTAAAAAACAAGCCTAATTGTGCTCCTGGGCTACACGTTGGTATGGTTGCCTTCAGCTTTCAAGACAAATGTCACATATCTCGCCTAGGTGTGGAGGATTGGTTCTTCATGTTCTTCCCTTCCTACCCCCACCCCTTTACTGGGGTTAACAAGTGTGAGGCATCTGCCCTCACTCTAATTTTAAGTGTTTTCTTTCCTGAAAATGATGTCAGCTTCAATTTTTCCATGATTCTAGCAAAATTCCATTTTAGCCTGCAACTATTTTCTGTTTTCATTCACGTCCAGCCCCTGTAATCTTTTCTGAGAAGACCAACACCCACCTGTGGATGCTCAGTCCTTTGTTTCTACTCTTAAATCTCCACGTGGCCCTCAATGTCCTGCAACATTTACATTCGTTTGCACATTTGTCTCTTTCAGGAATGTATGTCATCATCTCTAAAAACCTAGGGACATGTAGTGCAGTGCCCAGGTCAACAACATGCTCATTACTAGACTCAATTCTCATTTCCATAGCGATATGGCCATGGGCTGGTTGATTCTGCAGAAAGCCAAGGCTGGCTCTAGCTTTTGTTTTATTTTTTGTCTGTTTAAAGTGAACTAAATTCCATGCTTTCCAGATTTGAATGTTTAACTGTCCTAGGAAGAGCTAAGTGATTATGAAATAGGGCTAAAGGATCAATTTTATTTCAGTACTGCTGGAGTGATACATTTGGGCCTTAAATATGCTTATTTTCTTCTGGTGCTCCGATATGCCATCACAAAGTCCTCTAAATAGAATCCACCCTCTTTGAAACTGCCTTTGCTTTTGGTTCATTAATAGCCCTCTTGGAATTCATGGCAGCTGTAATAAAAGAAGCGAATTTTTAACCCCGGACCAAAGACCACATGAAAGTCCACTTAGAAGGCAAAAGAGCAACCCTAGTGTCTCATTCCTAACTATATAGCACATGCATTTACTTTACTTTGTGTTTTATGTATGAACTACCCCAGTATCCAATGCTTGGAGAAACCATCCCTCATCTGTACTGTATCAGAAGGAAAGGACCATTTGTCCCAAAGGATGCACTCAGGCCTCGGGAAATGCACTTGTCCTCTGTCCAAAAAACATTTCCTCCAGCCATGGGCATGACCAAGTGGAACTTGACCCTCAAGCAACAGCCTAGGTTGTGCTTCAATCTGACCAAAAGGACAGGGATGAGCCACAAGTCTGGGTAGCTTCTTCCAGAGCTCCACCCTCTCTTGTGCCCACACCACCCCAGTCTGACTGTAGAAGTAACTCTGCCCGTATGAGGGGCAAAAGGATCTGGGTCTTACTGCCCAATATGGATCTTGGGGATCCATTATCTCACAAAAGACAGAAAAGGAGAGATGTCTAAAGGGGGAATGGGATCATATAGAAACAGTATGTTTTGTGGTTCTGATTCTTTTAACAACTATGAAGTTCAGCCATTTTTTTTATCACTAGCCATTTTCCTCAACCATCTCCTAAAGTTAGTAAGTCACCTTGTCTTTATATGTCTGTAGTTGTTTCTATTTACTTTGGATTACTAGGTGAGGATTGGGAACAGGGATAGCTTGCTTTCCATGTCCTGCATGAATGGGGTGGTTAACTGAATCTTCCTTGGAAGACTAGTCCAACTGTCAAGGGAGCTCCTGTGGACTTAGATTTTCACATAGTAAGGTTGTTGAAAGTGATGATAGACTTGGACTCACCTCTCCTAGAAGCTCATGATGACAAGCTATAGATGCATGCCTCTATCTGTACATCAGATTAAACTTAGCATATTTCAGGGGTGGAGAAGGGGGGAAGGGCAGCCATTTCCCTCCTTTTCTGGTGTGTATGATTCTGGCCTTTGATGCAGGACAAGAGGAAAAGGAGATGCAATTGCTTTGGCTTTGGCCAGGTGGTGCTTACCTGTGATCATGCTCAGCGCAGACAGGCAGGCTAAGGCTTGGATATCAAGGTTCAGGCTCTGCAAATTTAAGGAAAAGTCTTTAATGGAGTCGAGCCACTCCCCAAATCCACGAAGGCACTGAAGTCGATGGAGGACAAGTCCATTGCAGAACACAAACTTATCTTCAGCAGTGTTTGACCTGGGGAGTAAAGGAGGAGGAGATGCATTAAACAGATCCATTTGATCTAACTAATCTGATGATAGCTATCGTAACACACCAACACTCACACACAGGGCTTATATGCTGCCATAAAGCATGGCTGGATGTTTGCAATGAACAGGTCTGTGTTCTTAGGAATAAACAACCAGTATCACTTGGCTGTGCTAATGTCTTTGGGGAAGATCAGCCTGCGTAAAGATGGGGCTCGGGCACCTGCTGTCTTATTGCTGAATCAGTTGCTGATTAGAGCAATGAGGAACAAGCACTTAACACAGAGATGAAGCCCAGGGCACTGTCTCTCTCTGCAATGAACTCAAGGGCTTTTGAGTTAGGACTGCCCCATTTTCCTTTTTCCCTTTTTTGCCAGTCTTGGGGCTTGGACTCAGGGCTTGGGCACTGTTCCTGAAGCTTCTTTTGCTCAAGGTTAGTACTCTACCACTTGAGCCCAGTGCCACTTCCGGCTTTTTCTGTATATGTAGTTCAGGGCTTCATGCATGCTAGGCAAGCACTCTACCACTAAGCCACATTCCCAGCTCTTTTTTAAATTTTTATTTTTTTAGTTGTGGGCCTTGAACTCCGGGCCTGGATACTGTCCCTGAGTTCTTTTTGCTCAAGGTTAGCACTCTAATATTTAGGCCACAGCCCCATTTCTGGTTTTATGATGGTTGAGATAAGAGTCCCGCAGACTTTCCTGCTTGTGCTGACATCGGAACTGTGATCTTCAGATCTCAGCCTCCTGAGTAGCTAGGATTATAGGCATGAAGCCTCCTGAGTAGCTAGGATTATATGCATAAACCACCAGCACCTGGAATCCCTTATTTTCTTAAATGTCAAAGGCTGATAAAAGCAGAGGCTAGACACTACCATTGTACTGTTCACAAAAGGTATGAACTCTATGCAAGTACCAGAAGTCAATTATGAACTAAAAAGTGGGTTAACATAAAAATGAATCCTTATTTTGTATTGTTTTCATGACTACAAACAGTGGGGCAATGGAGGGCTATTTCTAAACCTGTCTGGATAGTTTCTTTTATGTACATAACCATCCCATTCTTCCTTATGAGAGGGACCCCAGAACCTCCTGTTAGACATCCTCACCTGGCAGCTTGACCCTGGACACTCCTTTAATCTCTCTGGACTTCTTTTCCCTTATCCCCCTTATCTATTCCTAGCACAGAAATATTAAATGCTACCCACTAAGAAGGCTGAGGGACTTAAATAAAAGAAAGGATTTGAAAGCACAGTACCTAGAAAGAGGATGCCAGAGGAGTAAATGGAACTAGTTCTGAATTGTATAGGGTCCTTACTTTAATCTGTTTTCCTTTAACTTTAAAATATCTTACTACCCATTTGTCTATTTTGGCTATTGCATTCACAAGGTAGTATCTCTTTCCTTGTGCTTCCTTTATCCCTTCACTCAGCAAGTATTTTCTATGTTCTTCCTGGAGCTAGGTACCAGAGAAAACTTTGTGAATAGGACAGGAATGATGTCCACCTGCATGGAGCTTATTGTCTACTTAATCCTCTGCTGAATGCTTAGTAGATGACAGTCACATTGCTGCTGGGCTCTAGTGTCCACTGGGTTGGCTAGACATTGAACTAGCAATGGACACTCTACTTGTCCCTCCCACTGATTTTTGTGACACAGGTATACCCAAGACAGAATGATCCAATCTCAGAGCTGAAAGATGGATCTCTGAGGATCAGAGTATCTGCTGGTATCAGCATTGAGACAACATCAATTAAAACTTCAGATTTCTGGACTTTTCCCCTAGCTTACAAAACATAAAAGGGAATAAGGCATGGAGTCTGTAGTTTAAGGAGGAATTTCTGGAACTATTGTGGAGAGGGTAGTAAGGAAGAGAAAGAGGATGGTTTTTGCTATAATATTTGGTGAAATGTTAGTTCAATGTCCTAAAAATATATCATTTAAAGAAGGGTAGAAGGAAACAATACTGTGTGTAAAAACTAATACACTTTGTTTGTTTGTTTAAAGGTTACATGTGCAATTTATGAGAGGGATTAGGTCCCATGTTTGAATTCTTTGAAAAATTACTTCTTCTTTGTATGGGGCTAGACCAAATCATTTGGTCCAGAACTGTTCTCTTGGAGTAAATGCCAGAGGATGAAAGTCTTCAGAGTTCTATTGGATATACATGGACTGTTACTTATGAAATGGAGTAACATGGTAATTATAGTGCCCTACATTCCTGGGGAATATGGTAGAAGATTCTTCACAGAGCCATAGAATATTGAAGCTGCCGGGGAGTTTAGAGATTCCCTCAATTCACCCCATCCTTGTCTTATAAAGAAGAGAGTTTCTTATAGTAAATTTGTATTAGAAATGGGAATAAAACTAGTTCTTTTGTTGTGATGGTTGTTGTCGGTTGTGAGGCTTGAACTTGGGGCCTACGTGCTGTCCCTGAGCTCTTTTGCTCAAGGCTAGTGCTCTACCATTTTGAGTCACAACTCCAATTCTGGTTTTCTGGTGGTTAATTGGAGATAAAAGTCTCACAGACTTTCTTGCCTGGGCTGGCTTTGAACCACAATCTTCAGATCTCAGCCTCCTGACTAGCTAGGATTAGTGAAAACTCTTAGTGAAAAACTAGGAGTTCTGACTGCCACCTCAATGTTCTTTCCATTACCCTCTACTGATTTTTTTAAATGTCTGATTGTGTTTCATATTTGCTTTTTTTTTTGGTTCTGAGACTTGAACTCAGAACCTGTGCTTATTAGACAGGAACTATATCACTTGAGCTATACTCCCAGCTATTGTTCTTTCTTTCTTTCTCTCTCTCTTTCTTTCTTTCTTTTTCTTTCTTTCTTTCCCTCCCTTTCCCTCCTTCCCTTCCTTCCTTCCTTCCTTTCTCTTTTTCTTTCTTTTGTTTCTATTTGGGGCTGACTTCAGACCAGGATGCTCTTATCTCTGCCTTCCACATAGCTGAGATTATAGATGTAAGCCACCACACACAGCTTTTTTTTTTTTAAGACAGGTCCTTGATAAATTTTGCTTGGGTTGGCCTTGAACCATGATTCTTCTACCTTCACTTCCCAGGTAGCTGGAACCACAAGCATGAGTCACCATACATATTTGTTCATATTTGCTTTTTGAGCAAACTGTACCCTGTGGAATTGGTTACAATATGAAGGCTGTTAATCCTTTAAAGAAAGGGGTGAAGTGAAGGAAGATAAAATACTCATACTTACCTGATGGAAAGTCTAAGAACGAACAGCTCCAAAAAGGCTGATTCTATAAGTAATGTCTGATCTTCCTTGGGGAGATCAGTAAATCCTGGAATCTTCTCTGCCCAGCTTCTGGATACATCAATGGAGGCGGTCAGCAGGTTGTAGAATTGTTGTACATGTTCAGCATCCGTGCCTGTAGAAGCCTGGTCAGTGGGGCAGTACTGGAAAGCAAAGCACAGACAGGAAGGTTATTGGTCCCATGGAAATATCATCATCATGTGTAGATGGCTCTTGCCAGACAGTCAGGGCCCACATCCTGACACTGTCTATGAAAATCTTTCATAGACAAGTCTCATGTGATTCTCCCAATAGTCCTGTGACATAAAATAAAGTGATTTCCCATTATTTTTTAGTAGACAACTGCACTAAGGTTTTTGTCAGTGCAGTGGTTTCCACCTTGACAGTGCATTGCAATCATCTGGAGGAGCTTTAGGAAAACTCTTGTTTGGATTCTACTCTCAGAGATTCCCAATGAAGGCTTGGCCATTGGGAATGCCAAAGGCTCCCCTGGGGATTCCCAAGGGCATCCAACCCCAAAAGATGCTACTTTAGCCAGTGCTTCTCAATGTGTTCTTTCCAGGCCAGCAATGTGCTAGAAATGACCTTCTCAGGTCCCACTCAAGCCATCTTAATCAAAACTCTTGAGAGTGGGCTTAGCAGATTTGGTTTATGAAGACCTCTAGGTGATCCTAAGGTACAGTGCAATTGGAGAATCATAGAATTTAACCAATAGGGGAAAAGAATGATTTTTGCTTGCTGTTGATTGATTTCTGTGAGCTAACCATCAAAGGATAAGGGAGGCAGGGAATCTCCTGGCCAAATCCAGGCAGTGAGGTACCAACAGGTTCAGGACTTGTGGCTACTTACATTAAGAAACACTGAAAATTCACTTTCACATTATATATACTTTATAGCGTATTTCAAGCACTCAATAGATAAACATGCTATAGAGGCATTTGGAAATCACTGTAGAAAGATTTTTCTGGACAGCACAGCTTTAGAATGGTATTCCCAGGAATGAAGTTTCTACTCAGATTTTGGATATTCTGGTCAAACCACAAGTTTGCTTGAATCACTGGAGGAAAAAAAAAAATTCCACTTCAAGCCAGGCACAGGTGGCTCACGCCTGAAATCATGTCTACTCAGAAGGCTTAGATCTGAGGATTGAGGTTCAGAGCCAGCCTGGGCAGGAAAATCTGTGAAACTCTTATCTCCAATAAACCACCAGAAAACCAGAAGCGGCGCTGTAGCTCAAGTGGTAGAGCGCTCACCTTGAGCTGAAAAGCTGAGGGACAGAGCTCAGGCCCAGAGTTCAAACTCCACTACTGACAAAGAAAAAAAAAATTCCACTTTAGGCAGAGAGACTGTTCTTGCAAGATAATAATCAAGGGACAATGCAGCACACAAAGATTTAAGTGCTATGCAGAAACATACATATGTATGCACAAAAATCATTGCTTTGCATTATGAAGACTAAGGATGAGGGCTGAGAATGTTCTTAGTGATAGAGTGCTTGTCTAGCATGCATGAAGCCCTTGGATTTGATTCTTCAGTACCACAGATGCAGCAAAAGCCGGAAGTGGCTCTGTGGCTTAAGTGGTAGAGTGCTAGCCTTGAGCACAGAGAGACGCAGGGACAGTGCCCAGGCCCAGACTAAGAATGACTTTGTAACCCTATTGTGAGGGAATCCCCATGGGGAAAGGATTTAAATCCCTGTTAATATAAGTGAGGAAAGTGAAGCTCAGAGAAGCTAAGAAACTTTCCTGAGTTAAATAACAAGCAGTGGTAAGTCAAGACTTAAACTGGCCTTGGGATTATAAGCCATACACCTCTTGATGAGGTAAGGCATAAGGCCCTGGTGTTCAGTCCCCAGCATAAAAACCAAAGTTTATGCTTCCAGTTAGTGTCTGGAGATGGCTTTTGAGATCTTCTCGAAAACATTTGCTCCATTCTGATGAACAATCTCCAGGTAGGTACTCTCTGGTCCCATGCTTCTGTCAATAACATGGTGATTGCTATATAACATGCCCTCAATAAACAATTGTTGACTATTTTTTCAATGAAAGAGTAATCACAGAAGAGCCCGGATGTGCCACAATGCCTATCAGGTTGGAGAGAAACAGCTGATAAGGACTAGCCAATAAGCTGGTAAGTGTTCATTGTAAAACTATCTAAGCATGAGGAAAGGAGATATTAGACATCACGGAGTCTAGCCTTTGCTTTGTGTTTTTCCAGGAAGCATCAAGATGTAACGGAAGAAACATCAGTCAGGGAGGCTAGGTACTTTATGCCTACTTTTATTCTGGCCCCTATTTGAGAAAACAAGAGAAACAAGAGACTGCTTTTTGTTTTTCTGAGCCTCCATTTTCTCCTATGGAGAAGGGGGGATAATAAAATCTTCTAGATGTTGTTGAAGTGATTAAAGGCAAATAACATATAGGAAGAGGCTGACCTGGAGAATGAGTTAACCAACTGGCAGTATGAGCTCTGGTAAGAGTTCTGACCCTCTGCAGCTTCTGTTTGTCTTGGACAGAAACTGGATTGCAACAAGCTATAGTTTTCACCTTGATTTTCTAAGACCCGATAGCATTGAGAGTCCAGTTTAGAGCCCTGGCTCCTCCGCTCCCTTCACTTTCACAAAGGACCTAGGATTCTATGAAGTCCTTGATTTTGTGCAATGACAGAGGCCATGAAAACAAAGGCCAGAGAAGGCAGCTCCATGGCCAAGCATGTTCAAAGCTGTCACATGTCCCTGCTGCGTCCGACTCTCCCCACCCCCTTTCTTTCATCACACTCTTAACTGGACAGTAGGTCAAGAGGATTAAAAAAAATTCTCTTTCATGAATGTAATTCCACATGCTCTGTAAAGGCAGAACACCTCCCTCACTTTCCCTCTTCATCCCCTCCCCCATAAAAGCTGACAGCACTTCGTGTCAGTGGCTTACATCTACGATCTTAGCTACCCTGAAAGCTGAGATCTCCATTCCAAACCAGAAAAACAAAACAAAACAAACCACCACGACACCAAAAAACAACAAACCCAAAACACCAGAAGTGTGAGCCATGAGTGAGTACAAGATCCAGAGTTCAGTCTCAGGACTGGCGCAGAGAATAAAAAGAAGTTTTAAATCAATTTAAAAAAAATTAAAGCTGAGAACGTTACATGTGATGATATCGAGTCGAGGATGGGTATGTTGAACCAGGTATCGGCACCTGGAGTTCCCCTCCAGGCTTAGGCATTGAGTCTATGTTTAACCTCTCTGAGTCTGTTTCTGTCTCTGAAACAGGAATTCACTGGCTTAGCTGATCCCTACGATTCCTACCAGCTCTTGCACTCAAAAACTCTAAATATGGCTAAATAGCAAGATTTCAGTAAGGTAACAGTTAGATGTTACTGTCTAGAATTAAGCTAAGTAGGGAGAGAAAGGCTAAAAGGATATAAACTCCTCCTGGGAATAGACCTAACAACTCCACTCTGCTGCACAGACTTCCCTGAAACCACTCCTCACAATTGGACAATTGCTCTCTTTCCAGTGTTCACTCAGAAGGTACCAGAGCACAGAGTTTTCACACAAGGCAGGGTTCCCTGTAGGCCTCAGCCCCTGCTGGGCTCACATTTTATGCCTTCAGAATCTGGAAATGGAAGTCCCTGCCTGAGCCATGTGTGTGCTTCTCCCTGACAGCCCAGCAAGGAGGAAGGCAGGCAGACCTGGCTTGTCAGCCTGCAGTCAGAGACCCTCTGGGCTTCACTAGCAATGATTCTGGTCGAAGGCCCAGCATTCTAGAGCCAAACTGGATTCAACCAGAGCCACCAGTAACTTGTGGGTGGCTGGCTGGTGGGTCAGCATCCAGGGATGGTGACAAGGATCAGCTCTTCTGCGGAACTTACTATTTAAAGAAACAGAACAAAGGTAGGCAGATTCTCTGCCTGGCCTAGCAGTTTGGGGACCCCCCCAATCCTGCAGTGGTGGCTTGACTATTGTTGGCTGCTAGGAAAGGCAGATTTGGGTTCACCAAAGAAAATCTCTAAACATTTGCTTATCGGTCATGCCCATTCAACACAGTTAGATACAGAAAGATTTTTAACAATTTTTTTCCTTGTCTATGAGAATTAAAAAAAAAAAAAAAACAACTTCGTAGTCTCTAAGGATTCTTGTTCTATCAGCATCTGGCCTTCCTGAGATACAATATTACACTCACAGACAGCCAAGGCATGACAGAGATTTCTCCAAAGCCCTGGGGTAACCCAGAGCTGCAAATGAAAGCAGTGAATATTATTTAAGCGTCAATGGGTCTGTGTGTTTCATATGGCACTAGTGCAACTGTACAAACCAGACTTCAGCCATGGCTAAAGCCACAAGTAAGCAATTTGAAGGTGGAATACCAGCCTTAGTAAATGAGCCATGTGATATTTTAATAGCAGAGTGAAATTGAATATTTATCTCACTTCCAGCCCTGGATAAATATGTCAAAGATTTCTCCCTTTAGTATAATCCCTCCCCTGCTTCCACTGGATCTTTTAGATTTCTAAAAATTTTAGATGTGACCATTCTATGAGTCAAACTATATATATATATATATATATATTCTTCAGTTTTTACACTTTAGAAAGTAGTATTTAAAAATATTGGCAGTGAAAAGAATTGACAATGAATATAGCCACCCCCCCCATTTTCTTCTTTTGTAATCTGCTATCTCTCTATTTCCCCACTCCCCCCCAAATCCCTAAGAATGAACACCGCCATCCTGCCACCAATGGCAGCACTGTAGGTTATTTTACTTTCTTTCTCTTTCACTGGCAGTTGAAGGCAAGAGATTAGTTTTATTCAACAATCAATGTGTCCATGGTATCAGAATAGTGTCTGACACCCAAAGGCCATTCAAAAAATATTTGTGCAATGAATTAATATTTCTTTCTAGAAAATTGCATCATAATTTATTGCTTAGTCTTTCTCAACTCCAACAAAAACTGGGAAATTCAAGGTAAAATTGTCATTATCAAATTACAGTGGAGGTTTATTAGCCTTAGTGTGCCAATGGATGATCTGAGGCCCTTGTTAAAATAGATTCCTGACTGCCTCCTTCTTCCTGGTTTAGTAGGTCTGGGTGTGGACTAGACATCTGTGTGTGTGTGTTCGAGTGTGTGTATGTGTGAAAGTGT